TCTGTGCATTTCTAGATTAAAAAGTCTTACATCACCTTTAAAGATCTCATGGTCGGTGGTGTTGGAGCTAGAATCCTGACTTCTGTGTTCTCACAGCATTTCTCTGCTTTATTTTTGGTATTTAAAAAATACATAGTGGATCAGGAGTGGGGAGGTAAAATGGACAGAAGACAGGTTGTTCTTGTAGGGCCTTTTTTCTGTACCCCTCACCAAAGCTGGAAGCCATCAAGTTGTGGTTGACAATGTTGGGATGGACAGACTCTGATGCTGGTGACACTTATTGCCTTAGAGGGAACTACAGGCATTACCTGATTTAAAAATGAAATATATTCCACAAATGTATTTGCAGTTTAATTGTTTCAACTCAGAATACATTATTGTATGCAGACCAGTGCAGATGAAGATCAGATTTACTCACATCATTTATGGTTTTAACAAGGTACTTTTGCAAAGAAAAAAAAAGTGCAGTTTATAAAGCATTTGTACACATTTGGCCTGTGCAGTTCTCTGAGGTTGGATCAATTATTCCTATTTCATTTTCAAAATACTTCAGTTGGCAGATGTTATCGAATATTAGCTGTGCAGAGTACTTTGCTACATTCCCAGCTCAGGGAGGGGGTTTCGAGGGCATCAGTAGTACAGAAATTCCGTCATTGTTAGATGGGGGTAAGGCCGACCCAGTGCACGTGTGCAGGATGAACTTTTGAGCATAGAGACAGGAAAATAGGTCCTGTGGAGAAGTCTTCTAATTGGTGTGATCTTTCATAAAGAATCCTGGGCTCCTAATAGGGTAAGCTAAGTGGAAAAGCATTCTCAGAGTGGTTAAATCCTTGAAGTTGCTAATTCTTCAGTTAACAGATTGCCAAGGCAAGGAATTGATTGGGGGGAATGGAAATGGAAAGGCAGTGTCCAAAGTACTCACGTTGACTTGGTGAAGACATTTTGTAAGTTGCAAAGTACTCTTTTTTTTTTTTTAATGGATGAGTTGATTGTCTGATTGCAGAGTCTTCCGAGTATTCTAACTAAAAGTGGAATTCTGCAAGTGGGCAAAATGCGCAAATGATAGTTCAAGAAAAGCTGGACGTAATCAAGGAAAAGAAATGATTTATTATTGTTCTTTGTTGCCTGAACAACAGGAAGATGCTTTTGTCTCATTGCTCATTGTGGGAGCTAAGATGTAAAGCAGCGCGTGAGAAATGATCTCAGAGCCCACATTGTGCTGAACACACAGTGGAATAGGACAGGGTTTGCCCGTGTCCCCACAGTGCCCCTTGTGCACATGTCAGAGCAGTCCAGGAAGATAGCTTGTTTCTTGCTCTCATTTATGTTCATGCATGCTTGAACTCTGCAAATTTTTCCTTGTCAGAAATTAACGGTGTCCCTAGATAAAGATTTGCTTCATGTTATAGAATCAGCTCTTCTCTGAAATATTAGCTGTTTAAATGCAAATAGATGGACAAGATTTCCTGATGTCTGATTTTGAAGTTTGACAGCAGATTTTCATTTTTAAACTCTATTGAAATGGCAACAATAAGCTTATAAAATAATTTTAAGATTTTTTTCATTAAAAAATACAGTTTTGAAGAAGAAAACAGAAAAAAAAACTTGTTGGTTGCCAAACATACTCATAAAGAAATCCAGGCGCCCTGTTATATACTGTAGCGTTTCTGGTCCAGTAGGGTTTTTTGCTTGTTTTTGTTGGTGGTGGTTGATTGGCGTCAATTTGAGGCTTAGGCACCAAAACCTATAAGCCATGTGCTTTGATCTAATACTTTCCACTGTATTGTGAAGGCTCTTAATTACCTACTTAAGATATATTATTTGAGAAATTTTATGATTTTGTAGAGCCCAGACTCTCAACTTTGTGTGGAAGGATTGACTTCCTGCAGTATGTTGCCAGTTCTGCCCATTAAAGGAGCAGTTCACAGTGTGTTGTGACACTTAGGACTTCATTAAGTACTGTAAATCTGTGGGAGGTAACTATTTCTCACTGATCAGCAGTGTTAAATATCATGATAAGGGTTCATTCCTTTCAGGAAATGCTGCATAGGCGTTGGAAAACATTCCTGCCAGCTCCTCTCCTCGTGCTCTTGTCTCTTCTCTTAAGGACAGCCGAGTAGGCCTCTTCTTGCGGGGGCGGGGGGGCTCGTGTGCGTGGTGGGATTCTCGGCCAAGTGTCTAAGGGACTGTAGCTGGGTCTTTCATCCCTAGTATCCTGTGCCTGAGTCACGTCACCCTCCCCTCCCTACCCACTGCACAGAACACACACACACACACACACACACACACACACACACACACAAACTGATTTGAGGTTACGTAAAAGGTGTCTGTAAAAAGTTCTGGTAGATCTGGGTTAAAAATCCCAGCTTAGCCACTTACTGTGAGCCTTAGACAGGTTTCTTAATCTTTCTGCTTTCAATCATCTCAGTTTGAAAAGTGAAGACGACAATGCCTGCTCTCAAGGATGTGTGCTGAATTTAGCTTCTTAGCGTGCCCGTCCTGTGATGGCTGTGAGACGGTTCTGCCTCTGCTGCTTCCGGGGCAGGTTGGACGGTCTTACCTGGGGAGCCCGGCAGGGCGGGGGCCGGGCGGGAGTGGGGTGCGTGTGGCCCTCCTTTCACAGGAGATCAGAGGGCGTTGACCTGGAAATAAGGAGGGGACGAATGACAAGGGCTGCCGGGGCAGTTCCGACAGTGTGGCATCTTTACTTCCTCTTAGAAGGAGTAGAACGTGTTAGAATGGCTGCTGCCGCCTTTGTTAGAACCTGTGTGAATTCAAGGTTACCTTTCACACGAGGGCGTGTGTGTGTCTGTCTGTCTGTCTGTCTGTTACCGGGACTTAGAGTACTCTCCCCCGTTCCACTAGGGGCACTTCACATCTGCTTGAATCCGTTGCTCAGTGGCAAGCGAGGCCGCTTGCGGTCCAGGCTGAGGTGTCGGTACCTGTGACTGGGTTTCATGCTGCGCCACCCGTCACCAAGGCCTGTGTTTGCTGCCGGCCGACAGGAAACTTGGCCCTTGGTTTGCTCCTTTGTTTTAGGTTTTGTGTTAAAGCCACACTCGCACGGATCCGGCACTGGAACCCTCAGGACAGGCCCAGTGGCTTGCACGCGCGGGCTCGCCTTGATGACGTCATAGGCGTCTGTCCCCGCCTTGTCCTGTATCCTCATCTTTTCAGCCACATCACAGCCCCTCCTAAGAGGTGCTCCAGTACGTGCTTAACTTAGGTTCAGTGTGTCATGTAACTAGCAGCTCTCCTTGTTGGTTTTCCTGCAAAAAAAATTGCAGAATTATTTGAAAAAGAAACTTGGTGGCTTGGTTTTCCATAGGTTGGTTTTTGTTTTTGTTTTTGTTTTTTCCATTTCTGTTCCTCTGCCACTGGCTCTCTCATTGATGAGCCAGACCAAGTCCGTCTGGTTGTTTTTCTCTGGCCAGTGCTCCACTGAGGGGAGTGAGAGGTGCTGTAGGATCTGAAGGGAATCCTTACGTAACGGCGGGCAGTTACTTCACCTCATTAGTGACCCACTTGGATATTTATTTCCTGCGTTGTGCTTAGAGAGCTTATTATATTGTAAACGTCAACCTAGATAGGAATGTCTTTGAAAATTAATAGTGTATAGGAATGGGCATAGGCTTTCCTTTCTCCCTTTTTCATTTGGGTCTGAATGGTAATGCATTGAGAGAAGCTGTTGGCACGACTTACTGTTTGTAAACAGTAGTGTTAAGAGCCAGTGTCAGTTGGAGATTGGCACGGACATAATAATGGTTGATGGCACAATGAATGTATCACTTGTCTAAGTTTTTTTTATAGTGACTTTCAATCTTCACCCCCTTGGGAGCTACTATGAACCACAGTTACCTTCTATTTATTGCTCTATATGTGTTTTCTATGCCAGTCACAGAGCTGCAGGGGAGCAGATCAAGTCAGAATAATTAGATTGAGGAGTGAATGTCACACTTTTAATTTCATTCTCTTTTCAAGGGATTACCAGTGTCTATTTAATAAAATGAGATTAACGCTCTGCAGCAGAAGTATTTGAAAGCTGTCAGTCAGTATAATCTTGACAGCTGAAAATAAGTAGTGCTCTAACCACTGTTAAATGTTTTATTGGCTGAAATTCTTGACTGCACAGGGCTGTGTGTGTGTGAGTACAGGTGTACACATCATCAGCGGTAGATGTACAGAGTGTGGATATTAAACAAAAGGTTTATGGACTTAACCATACTACCTAGAAATAATATAGAAATAACACCATATAATTTAGCCCTTTTTTGAAATATAGTTGATTTATAATACTGTGTTAGTCTCAGGTGTATAGCAAAGTGATTCAGTTTTATTTTTTTCAGATTACTTTTCTTTATAGATTATTACAAGATACTAACTACTTTTCTCTATGTCATAGAGTAAATCCTTGTTGCTTACCTATTTATATATAGGGTGTGTTATCTGTTAATCCCATGTTCCTAATTTACCACCACCTTCCCTTTCCCCTTTGGTAACCATAAATTTGTCTTCTGTATCTGTGAGTCTCTCGTTTTGTAAATAGATTAATTTGTACTGGTTTTGTTTGTTTTAGATTCCACATATAAGTGACAATATTTGTCTTTCTCTAACTTCACTTAGTGTGGTGTTCTCTAGGTCAGTCCATGTTGCTGCAAGTGACAATAGTTCATTCTTTTTTATGGCTGAGTAGTAGTCCATTGTATAAATATACCACAACTTGTTTACCCAGTCATCTGTCAGTGATTGTTTCCATGCCTTGGCTGTTGTATATAGTGCTACTGTGAACACTGAAGAGCATGTATCTTTTCAAATTAGACTTTCCATCTTTCTAGATATGTGCCCAGGCGTGAGATCGCTGGATCATACGTATAATTTACTTTTGAGTTGCCAGATACTAGTAATAAAAATACCTAAGAAATTATGAGGCCAAAATGTTAAAAACTGAAGAAATTAGTAAAGCAAATGATGATGCTTTTTTTCCTTGAATGTTTTAGAAAACCTCGGATCAACTCCCAGCTGGTGGCACAGCAAGTGGCACAGCAGTACGCCACCCCCCCACCCCCGAAGAAGGAGAAGAAGGAGAAGGTAGAGAAGCAAGACAAAGAGAAACCAGAGAAAGACAAGGAAATTAGTCCTAGTGTTACCAAGAAGAACACCAACAAGAAAACAAAGTAAGATCCTGGGTAACTCAGTACAGTACTATATTATTTTGCAGGTGAATCAGAAATGTGATTGAAATACCTCTTTTTGTATCTCCCCTTTCAGACCAAAGTCTGATATTCTGAAAGATCCTCCTAGTGAAGCAAACAGTATACAGTCTGCAAATGCTACAACAAAGACCAGTGAAACGAATCACACCTCAAGGTATTTGAAACTAGAATGAAGTGCCACGCTGCTGCCCTGATTCACCTGGTCATAGGCAGGCAGGAGCCTGGGGTGGTTTTATGCCTATGGGTTTATAGGCTGAGAAGGGTGTGGGACTGTTAACTTGCAAAATACACGCACATGTACATGAGCTGCTTTTATATCACTGTGGCCAAAACAGGGGAAAGAGAAATTGATCATAATTTTGCAGTGGTCCAAAGCTTTGCTAACTGTTGGTGGCTTCTATTCTTGCTAAGCTTAGCCAGCAGATTTGATACTAAGGGTTGATATGTGTGCTGTTAGTGTGGGTTCATTGCCACAGTGTTATGAAGTCTGTGTGTGTGTGTGTGTGTGTGTGAGAGAGAGAGAGATGTTTGGCCAGGAATCCTTTTTAATCTGTAGCTTATTGAACAGACTGTCCCCCTGTGGTGTCCCTTTCAGGCCCCGGCTGAAAAATGTGGACAGGAGCACTGCACAGCAGTTGGCAGTAACTGTGGGCAACGTCACCGTCATTATCACAGACTTTAAGGAAAAGACTCGCTCCTCCTCGACGTCCTCATCCACAGTGACCTCCAGTGCAGGGTCTGAACAGCAGAACCAGAGCAGCTCGGGCTCAGAGAGCACAGACAAGGGCTCCTCCCGTTCCTCCACGCCAAAGGGCGACATGTCAGCAGTGAATGATGAATCTTTCTGAAATTGCACATGGAATTGTGAAAACTATGAATCAGGGTATGAAATTCACATCCTCCACCTGCCCATGCCGCTTGCATCCCTGGAGAATCTTCTGTGGACATCGACCTCTTAGTGATGCTGCCAGGATGATTTCTGCTTGCCATGGGCATCTGGCCACCAAGGAATTTCGCACCCTGACGATTACTCTTGACACTTTTATGTATTCCATTGTTTTATATGATTTTCCTAACAATCATTTATAATTGGATGTGCTCCTGAATCTACTTTTTATAAAAAAAAATCTGCTGTGCACAATTTTCCATGTACATTACAACTGGTTTTTTGTTTTTGTTTTGTTGGGGAGGGGGTGGGCTGGGAGGGGGAGGGATCTTTTATTTATTGTGTTCACAGACTCCATCCTTTCAGCATATCCTTTTAAGTTTAGTTCTTCCTTCCAGTTATACTATGTACTATCAGTTTTGATATAACTATATATATATATAAATATAAAATTATATATAAAGGGTTATTTGAAACCAATCCATGGCAACGCTGGTGCTTGATACACTGTGAAGTGAATACAACATTGAACAGTCACAGATCTGGGACAGTCCCTTCTATGAAAGTGCTGAAATTAAATCAAAATCAGTCTTACGTGAAGTATGTTCCAGCCCACATGGGAACTTGACTCTCATCTGTCTAAAGAGTACTGGACGATAGAAAAATATATATTTTTTAAGCAATGTGAGCTCACATTTAAAGACTGCTCCAGATAGCCTGCATTTGCGGTGGAATAACTGACAAATCACAAGCGGTTTAGTTGGGAGGGCTTTGATCGTTCAGAAGTAACTAAACTAGCTCCAGAATGCCAAGTATTCGTGTAAATTACGGTTACATGTTAACATTGCTGTTCTTACATAAGCACTCATGAAAATACGGTATTCTGTAACTCGAATTCCATCCATTTTCCAGACTTCTCCTCATGTCTGAGGTAAATCTATGAAGTGTCTCTTAGTTTTAGGATTAAAACCGTCTAAACTGTTTTTGGTCCATCCAAGAAGCAAACCCCTGTGTCCACTTTGCACGTAACATCGCAGCAGTGGTTTGTGTGATCATTTGAAATTTGTTTGCCTCATGTCTCCTCGTTTCCCTTACCCTACCAGCTCAGTCGCAAAATGTCTTTCTCTTAAAATTTAGCCTTGTCTGTTTGACTGCACAAAGGTTATCAGCCACACAGCCAGTCCCGACATGGAGCTTGTCAGTGTCTGGAGACATTTCCCAAGTCCCCGCCGCGGGAAGGACCTCCGTGGTGAGCGGTTGAAGCGCTGGCAGGCAGGGCTGCAGGGGGGAAGCTCCTGCTTCCTGAGAGTGTGTGATCTCTTTCTTCCTCGACATAAAGACAGCTTGAGTCAACTCAAAAACAAAACAAAACAAAACTTTTTTTCACTTTTTTTTTTTAAACTGTCTTGCAAAAACAATTTAAAAAAAAAAAAACAGGAAAAGGAAAAGGACCACTGGTACGGATCCACCCCTCCTCATTTTTGAAATGTTTTATTTTGTCTTACTTTGTTTGGTTTAGGGTCTGTTGTGTTTGACTTTTACATTCATTCGCTGAATTCATAGACTAAATTTAGAGTCATTTCAAGCACGGGAACTTGATGTCACCTTCCTTTATCTGACCATTCTGTTTAGGGACTTTCTCGGGAGGGCGGCAGGTTGGTAATGAAATACCATATTTTGGTGTGAAAAACCTGGTTTGCTTAAGAATAGAAGTAACTTCTGTCTGTGGAGGCAACGAGTAAAAAGAACAATTAACAGCTTGATTTGAGTAGCCAACAGGAAAGGCTCCTTTCACATTTACATTAAAACTATTCTGTAGTCACTAATGTACCATCATTTAAATTCTGTTCTCAAAGGTGTAGATGATAAAGCAGTGCCATTTGTTGCTGTGGTCCTACTCTCAAATGCACGGACAATGTTCCCCCCTTTTAAAAATACCGCTTGTATCTGGGATGCAAGCTGTGCTTACCTTTTTAAATACATTTTTAAAGTATTTATTAATGAACCAAAGGAAATCAGATGCTTTCTGTAAGCATCAGGCTATATAATACATAGTGATTTGACTATGACTTTTAAATCCACATTTTAATATTAGTGGGGTATTGCAAAGACATTCCTTCTAAAGTTTTAATATTCCTTTTATTAAGGGTCTCAGGGAGGGTAAATTAGTCAGCCATATTTATTTTCCAGAGATGTAAGGAATTGCTAAGTTTTTTAATTAACTTTTTAAAAAAAAACTTAAAATGCCACCAAACTCGTGGGTTGCACTGCTTTTGGAACCAATAAGTGTTGGTATGCACTTTGTTCAGAAACACTGTGTACTTTTTCAAAATTAGTTTCATGTAAAGTGATTGGACCCCTAGATTAGTGGAAAAAGCTGATTAACCAGCTACTCATAGGCTGCTAATTAATTCATTGCCAGTGTCTTGGTTTTTCAGTTTTGCCTCCATGATAATTCAAGAATAAATTAAAGGATGGGGAAGGGTGAAGGAAGGGAGGATTGCTTTAGAACAGGTGAGATGACGAAATTGCCATTTTGCTAGAAACTGCAGCTCACAGTGGGACTTCTCAGCAATCGGATGGTATTGGGCCCGTTTTTCAGCTGCTGTTGTGAATTCTTTTACGGTAGGTGATAGGGACTTAAGGCTTAATTTCTGAAATGATGACATCCCTCAGGCATGTATTCTGGAAATGGAATTCCTGTAACTCCTGCGTTTGCAGTTTGCCCTACAACTAGTAGGCAGCGCGTAAAACACTAGTGTAGATGATAAAGGTGTATGTTAAAAAAGGATCAGAAATACTTGGTATTCGGCGGCACAGTAAGCAGGTTATGAAAACAAACAAACAAAAAGCACAGTGTTAACACTTGCAAGTTTCCATTTGTTTTAATACCACAGGATCTTTTCGATCTTTCACACTCGTGCGTGCGCACACACAGAGCTTAACTGACCTGCTCTGCTTGAGTCATGCAGTTCGGAAAGGGGAAAAAAAAAAGGTAAAGACATCTTGACACCCAGAAAATATTTTAAGCAAAATCTTTCAGTTTCAATTTGGATAGTTAAAAACATTGGCAGAAGCTTCTGTGAGTTTAGTTCCACTAAGATGTTTCACCTGCCTTATCAAGACCATTCTCAGTCTACTTTTTTAAGCTACCGTATCTTAAATTATTGAAAATTTATTAATTGCTGAATATATAATAACCTTTGCTTGTATGTAACCGAAAATGGTTTAAGAGCCAACATTTAGAGTATGACAATGGAGCTGAACAGTTTTTAATGCGCAAGCAGTTCTGTTCTTGTGTATGACTTGTAACCTTAATTTACTGTGTAAAGATGGTTACATTATTTCCTTAGCTTTGTTTGTTGGAGACAAATAGAGAATGCTTGTTAAGTATGTCAAAACATAATCTTGTGAATTTTTGTTAATGTATTATACGAGCTATATTTTTCATTTGCCCAGAAAGACAGCTTGTATAACGCTTTTGGAAGTTTCTGCTCTGTAACGTCTTTAGAGCTGACAGTCTGTTAGGTTTGTTTTTTTCTTCATGCTAAAGTGTCAGTTTGGTGGTTTTGTGAACTGGTCAGAGATTCACAGGTCTTAAATGTTTTGGGGAAATTTATATTGGACACTGCTCTTTGTCTAGCAAATAAAAGATGTTAATATATTCCTGTTACTGGCATGTGCACGACTATGTTATTAGAAGCCACTTTATCATTTCCCTGCTTTAAATAGAAATGTCTATTTATGAATTCTGCTTGTAGTTTTTTCACAAATAAAATAGTAAAATTTACATTGAAATCTTTATTTTTGTGTGTGTAGATTTTAACCCGGAGGAAAACAGTTACTTTTTACACTCATTTTTTTTTTAGCTTGTGTAGTATTTCCAGTGGAATAGGAGGTTAAAAACTTGAATTTTCAAGATACTGAAGTTGATTTGGGTGTCTAAGTCCATGGCTCAGAGATGCAGCAGAAAATATAATTGAACAAGAGAAAAACTGAATTTTGGAAGAAAACGAGCCGGTGTCTCTAGGCGGAACCTTTGAGATAGGTTGCTTAAGGACATGGAGACGATGGCTAACTATGATTAATTCAGTGTATGACTGAAAACCCTCAAAAGAACTGGGTTTTGGCCATCTCCAGTTAGATCAGTTGTGACTCTGAGGTAAAGGAGGTGCACTGTTTAACCTAAAAGCCACACAAACAAAACCAGCTTACTGCCCTGCGCTAGGGAGACTGCCGCCGAGACAGTCAACGTGACCTTCCAGAGATGCGGCAACCATAAGAATGTGGAAACCACTTAAAACACTTGGAGGGTCCATCCCTGATGACTGTTCTTTATCCTGGGTCTGCACTTGAACGAGCACTGAGAGGAAGGGTACATGTGCTGCAGAACCCTGATTTGAAAACGAGTGTGTCCTGGTAAAAGAAAACTTAGCAAATTCTATACTTTTTTGTCCTTGTTTTCAGTATTGAGTCACAATCCAAATCTGGTTCCTCAGGAGTCTTGGAGAGGATTTGGCTGTTGAAGGGCAGGGACCAGATGGTGTCTCTGATGTTTCCAGGGCCCTCAGGCCATCGGCTGTACCCCCACCTCTTAGCTTTCTTTGGCACGCGAGGGGTCCTTAGTGAGGGTCCCCACGCTGATGGCACTGGTACCACATTTTGAGGAGGATGGAGGCTGCCTCATACACTTATTGCAGGGGTACAGCAAGAGATTGGTCCTTAAAACAGTGAAAGTGGAAAGATGTCTTTTAGGAAGAGTGGATTCCTTCCAGTTGTGAAGATGAGAAGGGAGGTGAAGGAGCCTTCCCTCAAGTCTTCAGCTAAACCTCGCACTTTCAGACCCTGACTGAGGAATACCGTGGCCGGGGTGTGACGGCATCGCGGTAAGAAGCTCTTGCTGAACTGATCTTGTTAAAGGTAGTATGCTGTCTTAAGCCGGAAAGTGCCCAGGCTGAGCTCTGCTTTCCTAGTCCTGAGACACGGAAGCCAGCCAGCCTCTGGGGCAGCGGGGAGGTCAATCCCTGACCTCCCAGCAGTTCTCAAGATCATCTCTGAAACCTTCAAATCACAGCAAGGAAAGCTCCAGAGCCATCCTCGTGTTAGGATTAAAAACTCCTGATCAAGGTCTTTGTTTGTTTGCCAGTCCTCACGAGAAGCCAGGTTCTAACCTGGCTGCCCTTAATGGTGTTTGTCGGGAAAGGACCATCTTCTTCCCGGCAGCCTGGCCTCTGTTAAGCAAGGCAGAAATGGACCACTGAATGCTGCAGCGAAAGCTCTGATTCTTCCAGAAATGATCATAGGCCATGTCTGGAAAGATGGGGAGGGAGCTCAGGTCTGGGGAGACCCTGGAGTGAAGGGAATCCAGATGTGTTCTGCCTGGTCAACCTGCCTTCTTTCCAGGCATCTAACTGCAAGGCTGGAGTGGAGGCTTGCTGTAAGGTATCCAGTGATTGGACGATTCTGTGGTCCCAGTTACACATCTGGTGCTGTCCTTTCCCAAAAATTGCTGTTAGGGATGAGAGTGTGGAGAGAAAGGCACAGGCTCACTCCTCCAGGTGCTTTTGACCTGGACCAGGCAAGTAAGAGCCTAGAGCTCGCGCCGGGCATCACCCAGGGCTCTCGACATACCTTTTTTAAGCTGAATTCAGACTCGGAAACCTCAACACAGCTCTCCAGGTATCCTGACCCCACAGTCCTGTGAGGTGAAACTCATTTGCCCTTCCCAAGCAACTGGGGAACCCTGCAAGGCAGTTTTTAATCAATTCTTCAGTTGTGGAGCACTTCCTGGAGCCATGGGACGTCTGAGCAAAGGTGGGCTGAGAGGCGTGGAAGAATCAGCAAAGAAGAGAACTAAATATCCGACACCAGCTCTCCAAAAGACTCAGGAGCAGATGGGACGGCCCATGCTGAGCACTGTCACTTTAAATGCCAGACCCACTAGCCTGCCAGCCACGATGGGTGTCACCTTGTAGGCCAGACCAGGACCTGCTCAGGCTGTCACACCAGTTCCACCGACCTCAGGGACAAATAACAGGACAGAACACCAAACGGATGTGACTCCCGGAAACAACAGGATGCACCTTTGGAACCAGAGCTGGGTGACTCTCACCTCCACCTGGCTGGGCGACCTTGGGCAAGTCGCCTCCCTGGGTTCATTTTCCTCATCTCTGAAACAAACGTCTTCTGCCTTGTTCTCTGCTCCACGGGGTCGTGGGCCAGCGGCTCAGAGGTTGCTGATAATGGAGAGCAAAACTTTTCCGGAACACTCATTCTAATGCTTCACTGATGTTAACACCCGGAGTGAATGAGAAGGATTTGTTTTGTTTTGTGATTGTCTTATCTTGTTCTTAAATATTTATTTGTCTGTTTTTGTAGCTTTTTTTCTTTCTTTCTTGGCCCAGAGGGAGGAGCAACTGGTTGAAGGCCACATGTAAATAAATCAAGTCAGGTGGCGTTCTTGACAACGGCTTTCAACTTCTGTGTCTATAAACAGTGTTACAATAAATACGGTTTTCATCATTAAAAGTTTGATTTTTTTTAAATGATGTTCACTGCCCTCTTATTATCAAAAAAGA